ATGCAACTCTTAGTTTAAAAATATGCTTATTGGTAACGCTAGCAAACTCATGAATAAAGTAATAAAAATGAAGGAATCAGCACTCACCTTCCAAGAGCAATACCCACGCCGATATAGTTCATTAACGGCTTTGAGGGAATTTTGCAGGGAATACCGAACCACCCAAACCTAAAAATATAAGACAATATTGCTGTCGATTTATCATGAATGGCCTAAAAGCCCTTTTTGCAGCTGATAGAAAGGTAATACAGACAAAGGCGAAAGGTAGCAGTGTCAATCCACTTGCTACATCACTCAACCTTTCTTGAACAAACTTTCCAAAAGCTACCTGACTGTGTATTGGAAAAGCTTTTGAACGGTCATCTCGCTAATCTCAAAATGCCTGATTCATTTTTAATCCAATCTGCCACAGTCCTTTTTCGAAAAAAACTTGAAGAAACTGCCGTTTCGGTGAGACCACTTGTCTCAGTTTTTTTACTTACGAGCCCTATTTCGGGATTGCCTACGTCAAGAATATACGTCCCCAGTAGTAGCAGTAGTAGTATTGGCTTGAAACCGAAAAATGTTCCATAGTTTCAGTTTAACGAATACTATTGGAGGATAGAAACGACAGGAACGTAAGATTATGCGTAAAAAGGGTCTATTAATGAAACCTACCGGCTGCTTGCAAATCCAAAAAGCATGTTCGCCATTGACCAGATAAGGATGCCCAAGCCCACGCCAATAGCTTCGATGATGGTTACAATCAAAGCATTTCCTGCCAGCCAGAAATAAATTACTCACATTTTATTGGTGAAACGTTACTTAGGAAGTCACTAATAAACCACTTTCCTGCACTGAGTTACTTGTATAGTAAATGTTCAGCTATTCAAACTATACTGAAGACGAATTTGTTTAGTTAAAACGGTAGAAAGTGGCGGGTTCTTAAAAATATAAGAAGCGGTGTACATGCTGTTTCGTCTAAGAGCGATGTTCAGATAGAATTTTAGAAAAAATAACAGTCAGTCAGCAAGTGCATTTTACTATGAAGATTTAAGTACTGCGTTTTTAAGGGAATTTCCCATTTTTGTCAGAATCAGAATTTTGCAAAATCGGACACTTCAGGCTATCCAAGTAATATCCTACGTTACTGAAAGCCACGGATCAAACCATTTTTTTGCATTTCATACCAAACGCGAACATTAAACTATCAAATAGATTAGTATTGCTACGAACATCCCGGACGCTAACGCAATCAAAACGCATTTTGCAGTTATCAAACGAAAGTGGCGTAAGGTAAAGTCGTGCCATGAAAGAACAGGTTGCTTTTGTGCTTAATAATCACGTTGATTAACCTCATGTCTGACAGAATGTATCCCCATCTAATTGTAAATGGATAGTCAACAAACTGTAAGTCTTTTGCATTTGTTTTTATTCAGAATTATTTTCCCGTTTCTATGTGCCTTCTTCCTTCGGCACTTTTATTGTTAGCCTTTTTAAGTTATTCGAAAAATAGCCCTTATTTGAACATCCAGTAGTAAATAGAATATAATAACTTCAACGTTAGTAAACATTACTTTATGAACCAAAGTATGCTCGCTTTTTTGCAATAATTGTCGTTTATTTCCTGATGTAAAGTGACCGGGATTTTCCTGTGAATTTCATGGGGTTGCATGAATTAGAAAAGCTGCTATGTAAAAAAACAGCATACAGACCTGAAGCCCATAAAGAACCGCCGAGCATTGAAAGAGGATAAAACTGGGGACATCCAACAGCGCAATTGACAATGATGCCCGCCAATAGGATGGCGTTGCACATCATCCACTGGAAGAACATGCCTAGCGCACAGAAACACAAGAGCATGCAGTCTTTTAGTTAAGAAAAGGTCAAACGAGCTAGAGTTTCAGCAAAGTATGCAGATAAAATTGCCAGACAATCATTGGCAACAACGGAAGTGACATTCGTGCCGTTTACGAAAGCCGGTTTTATATGGACAGAACAACCTACAAGCTCAACACCTACCATGCTCAAAGGACGACTAAACGCCTGCCGTTTGCCGCATCCTTTGACTCTCTTCCTCCTGATCTTGGCTCTAAATAATTTATTTGGCCTCTTATTGCCCTTCCATATATTTTTACACACCCGTTTTGTGTTAAGACAACTTTTCTCTGATGACTGACATATTTTACTCAACCCTGTTCCTTCGTAAATACGCAGGCCTGAGGATGACCATTGAAAGGAAG